CTGTGAGTTCGAGGCCAGCCTGGGCTACCAAGTGAGTCCCAGGAAAGGCGCAAAGCTACACAGAGAAACCCTGTCTTGAAAAACCAAAAAAAAAAGAAGATCAAGCTACACAACTGTCTTGTTTATATAGAGGGCTTAGTCCAGTCCCATGAAGGCTCCACCGCTGTTGATCTAAAGTTCAGGAGTTCCCACTAACTTGGTTTGGTTGTCTCATGATCTTGATCCACCTTGCTCATAGAATCCCTCTACCCTCTTTTTGACTGGACTCCTGGAGCTCAGCCTGGTGCTTGGCTGTGGATCCTCTGCATCTGCTTTCATCAGTGACTGGATGAAGGTCTATGATGGCAGAGTATTCACTGATCTGACTACCGGGGTAAGCCAGCTCAGGCACCCTCTCCACTATTGCTAGTAGTCTAGGCTGGGGTCATCCTTGTGGATTCCTGGGAACTTCCCTAGCACCAGGTTTCTTTCTATCCCCATGATGTCTCTCTCTATCACGGTATCTCTTTCATTGCTCTCCCACTCTGTCCCTGGAGGGAGAAAGGGGAGCTCACAAGCACACGCCCACTTGACCCTTCTTGAGTGGGTGTGTCATTTGCTGATATCATCTGTGGTCATTAAACTCCACATTCTCCAGCTTTGGAAGACAGGTTTGCACCAGTGATGATGCTCCAGGGGTTTCCAAGCCTCGGTCTGGAACTGGGGCTGCCCCACTGGTCTCTCCTGCCCTGAAGTTTCTAGATTCCTGGAGCAGCGACCGCTTTCCCCAAACCTCCAGTCTCTAGCCAGCCATGGTGGGACCATTCAACCTCTGATCACGCGAGTCAATCTAATAAAGTCCCTCTCAAAGTTAATAAGGCCCCTCCTCTCATAGTTACATTTACATTCTATTTGTTCTGCTTCTCTGGAGAACTTTAGCCAATATAGCCAGTTTGAATAAATGAAAATGTAACCAATTAATAAGTTGCCACAGTCTCCAACCCTTCCCCATCCCTGGTAGACTAAAATCCCAGTGAATCTCCGGGATCAGAGCAGCCGAGTCTCATGCAGATGGAGCCCAGACTCTCAGAGAGAAGCCCCAGCACCCCGAGTGAGCCACTCCATGGCCTAGCGAGGACTGAGAAAAGGAAGGGATACTTGACACCAAATAACATTACACACAAAGTGTGGCAGGAGCCTGGGTTAGAGGCAGGAAGAGAGCGTGCAGGCTGTATTCTCAGCCTGGTGATGACGCTACAGTGCCACCAACAGAAGTTGGTCTGCCTGTTTCTGAGACCAGGTGTTCACATCTCCCCCAGGTCCTTGATGCCCAGCACGCTAGACAAGGCCTCTTCACCTGTCACCATCAGTGCATGGATGCCATTCTGGAGATCAAAGTCAATGACGGACAGCCGAGCCTTGCTGATACACTGTAAAGCACTTTATCCTACTGACTGAAGAAAGACAATTTTTGCCTGTGCTCATCTACAAAGCACCCCCACAACTCACTTGCCGAGTAAGCCTGACAACCTGAGTTCAATCTGAGGAGCCCATGATAAAAGGACAGAACCAATTTCTGAACGTTAGTCTCTGACTTTTACATGCATGCCATGGTACACACACACACACACACACACACACACACACACACACACACACACATCATACAAACACACATAATAACAGCAACAATAACAACTTAGGTTTGCTCCCTAAACCCTCTTGTGACAAGGTCTTGTGGCAGCTAGCATTCATACAGAGAGACCCAGTCCCACTGCCCAACTCCATCACCTGCGTGCTATCACTGGCTTTAGGAAATATCCCAAGTTAGTGACTAACTCAGCTTCTGTGTACATAGGTGGCATGTGTGCCGTCAGTGATGAAGCTGCGGGTTGCCCTTGCCCAGCTTACCCTGTGCCCTGCCCCCTGCACTCTGCACCCTGCCCACCCAGAAGAGCTGGATATTTCTCTCTTCATCTTCCTCCACACAGAGAGAGGGCCAGAGAGATCCTGTTTCACCCAAGGGATAGAATTTCTGAATCCCAGGCATCTGCTGAACAGTATCCTTCCCGACAGTCCTCCTGTGGACCCTGAGACCAGCACATCCCTTCCACTATGGACAACTGACCCCACCAGAGCTGCAGAGGCTCACACCGACAGAGACACACCTTCCCCTCCATCACTCCTGCTGGTAAGTGCTGATCCATGCTCTTTTCCTTTGGCCCACTCTTCAGTCTCTTCAGTTGGATCTTAACACCCATACCAGGCTCCAAGTGGCATTCTCCTAGAGGTCTTGAGGCATTCTGGGAAAATTCAATTGCATGCATGGCAACAAGTGTCAGCCAGCCGAGCTGGCTCACTTCCCAGCATGCTCTTAGGAAGCAGCGTTCTTCTTACGGTCGCTTTCCCGGCTGTTTAGCTAGAGGCATTCCAAGAACACTAGCTTCAGTCTGGGCTCTGACTCTCTGTGAGAGGAAATCATAGCCCACTGTGCAATTTTGCTTCAGAAATTCTGGAGTCCTGCTGGGACTTAAGGAGCCCCCAGAAAACCCTCCATAAGCTCCCTATGTGGTGCCCCACATACAGGCCAATGGAAGAGCAGACCTAGGGAAGCTAGAGCTTTAGCCAGGAAGACACTAGTTTCAGTGTCTCCTGCCGGACCCACGGTGGCAACTCTTTCCACCCACCCCACGACCATAGGCAGATGTCTACAATTCTACTATGGGTGCTTTGTTCCCCAAACGGTGCTTTTGTGTCCCAAGCAATGAATTATTCAACAAATATTTTCTTTCAGTGGTTCTTCTGTGTTTGAGATAATATATTGTTCCAGGGCCTGGCGTGATACAAGGATATGAATCCTTCTCCCAAATCTCTCTGTAAACATTGTCAATATGCTTGCTTTACTGATTAGGGGATTTAAAAGAAAAGAGATGAAGTAACTATCCCAAGGTCACACAGCTTAAGAAATCCTGAAAACAGCCAGCCATGGTGGCATACACCTGTAGTCCCAACACAAGAAAGCTGAGGCAAGGACGTCAAGAGTTCCAGGCCAGCCTGGGCTACATAGGGAAAGCCTGTTTTAGATGAAGGAGGAGGGAGGGAGAAGGGAGGAGGAGGGGGAGGAAGGGGAGGAGGGAGAGGGGAAGAAAGAAGGGGAGGGGGAGGGGAGAGGAGGAGGGGGAGGAAGAAGAGGAGAGGAGGAAGAGAAATAATTTTGAAACGCAGCTGTGGGGAAGTTTGGAGTTACCTATGAAAAAGAAATGGCAGCATTTGGCCTGCTGTATCCAGTGTCAACATGAGGACACAGGACTTGCTGGCCTGGACCTGGGTCACCTATGCAGGGAAACAAAGGAGAAGGTGTGGGCAGTGACTGCTGTCCCACGGAGCAAGAGCCAAGCTCATTCTCCCCTCCAAGCCTTGACAGATGGCATGTGCGTCCACACACTAGACTTGGCTCCAGGTCCCACCCACCACAACACAGGAGACAGAGGCACATGCAGGATGCATGTTCGGCTAGGTGTGATGGATTCCCCTGAAGGCCTCTGCCTAGAATGCCAGGACCCAGACTGGCTGTGAGGAGGAGTGCCCTGGTAGCTGCACAGGGGGGACAGAAAGGACAGAAGCCCTCCGGAAGAGAGGTAACATCTGAACAAGTCATGGTAAGAGAGGGGACCGGGAGGATCAGCAGACAGGGGACATAACAGGGGCAGACATGAAAGGCTTTGAAAATGACAGAGTGAGATGGTGGGAGAGAAGGAAGCCTTTGCTAGAGTTGTAAACGACTAGGGCATCCCTTAGGGGAAGGGAAAGACAGAGTGAGCTCAGGCCATCACAGGAGCAAAGGACAGACCTAGGAGTACTCTGGGAGAGGGGAACACATGCAACCTCGTAACTCAGGAAGCAGAGCAGGAGGATTTCAAGTTTAAGTTCAACCTAGGCTACACGGCAAGACCCTGTATCAAAATGATGATGATGATGATGACGACGACGACGACGACGACGACGACGACGACGACGATGACGACGATGATAAGGATTCTATAAATAAACAGGCCAAGGCAGCCAGGTCCTGCCTCCAATGCATCCCAGAACCAGCTATTACAAAGTACCTGTCATGTGTCCAGAGTTGTCCTAAGAACTCATACAACAGTAGCCTCCCCATCATAGAGAGGAAGAAGCACAGAGAGGAAGTGCCCTGCATGGGGCCACGGGACTAGAGCTGGCGGCTGATGTCAGCATCCATGCTTGCTAAGCAAACTGCCTCACAGGAGGATCAAGGGAGAAAGGGGTGGGGTGGTGCTAGGTTAATTTACCCATGATGAATTGCAACCCACTGCCAGATCTGAGAAGATGGAAGGGCCCACCCTAACCCTTGGCGTAGGCTGCCTAGCAGCACTGGCTCAAATGCAAACACAGCCTGGTCCCTGCCTCACCACTCACTACCCTAACCACTCTAGATGGGTAGTGCCCTCATCTATAAATGGGGACAATAATAGCAGTCTTCCCGCCGCCGCCGCAGGTCTACCTGTTATGTAGTTCCAATGAAAACAAGAATGTAATTATTTTAGAAGTTGTGAAGTTGTACAAAGCTGCGTGGGGCACCAGAGTTGAAGGGTGGGGGAAGCTGCTGGCTTCTTGTGCCTTAATTCCCCCAGGCCCTTCATGCGGGGACAGATCTGGCCAACGCCGCAAGTCTACTTTGACTAGCTGTCATCTCACGAGTACTTGGGTCAACACTGATCAAGGTGTCCCAGGTGGGCAGGCAGGTGTTTATTAACAGCCAAGAAAGAATATCAGAATGTAAGGAGCTAAAGTGACTTCCCGGGTGTTAACACAGCCAGCGAGAGGCAGAGACCGTATCCCCGGAGTCCATGTACACGTTCCCTTTCCAACTGACAAAATGGCTTTGTGAAATCACCAGCTCTTGTCAAGGGTGGCAGGAATAGAGAGTTAGATGGTCATATCCCCAATGGTATAATTTCTCCTAAAAATATTCTTTCTCGCATCCTTTGAGAATAGCTAGAAGCAACTTCACATTTGATGGGGGAGGAGGTAGGCAGGAGAAATTTTACAGGAACATAATCCCCTCCTTACCTGCCTGTCCTGTCCCACCTGAGGCAGCTAAGTAAGGGTGACCGGCAGGAGGGTTCGGTGGGGCTCATCTAAAGAGAGGAACAACGGGATCCAGGGTCTGGATGGGGACCTGCTTGAGAACACCATGTGTTAGCGTGCAGACAATCCTGGGCTCTGCCTCAGTTCTCTGGAGGGTCCCTTCTGGCTCCACACTTTCCCACGAGCTTGTTGGGGAGTAGCCGACACGGGGACTCTACAGACAGACAGCCCATAGTTATTTTGGTCACTGAATTAAACAGAAACTGCTTCAGTGAGGAAGCAGGCTGCAGTGAGCCAGCCCACCCCACCCCACCCAGCTTCCATCACCACCGAAGCTGCAAGAAGGCATTCAGTATTCCAAGCCCAAGGCCTCCCTGTATTTCCCCTGGCATCTAGAAACTGCACCAACATCATAGAGGTAGATGAACCCTTCTCTCCCAGGCAAATAGAGAGGCAATATCGGCGCTGAGTGCACAAAACCAAGAAGTCCAGGGGAAAGAGTCTAGGGGACCTTTCCCCTAGCTGACTTTCAGAGCAAAATCATTTTCCCCAAGAGCAGGAGATTCCGGTCCCCACAGTTAACAGCAGACGAGTTGTAAGCCTCACTTGCTGCCGGAATGAATTACCCCGGGCTCATTCTTTTCAACATTGCTGCTGCTACGTGGGGTTTAAATGAAAGCGCTCTTGCCTGCATCTTTCCATCCCTTTCGGAAGATAGCTTTGTCCTTGAGCAGTCCTCACAGGGAGAGAGACACGCTGCCCACGCTGTGCCCGTCGCCACCCTAACAAGGAAGAGAACCATGTGACCAGCCATCTGAGCCCCCTCCAGGCCTCCTTGTCGTCTTCAATTGCTCCAAGCAACAGAACATTCTCCCGTTCCAAGAGGCACAGAGATTAGATTGGAGAAAGGGGTCAGGCACCCCTGGAATAGAAATACCTGTGCAGTGTGGGTGGTGCTGCAGGGATCAGCCTGCCCATGCGCATCTGCGCATTTTCTCAGATGTCTTGGTAATTATGTATGTAGTGTACATGTGTGTCTATGAGTACTTGCACAAGAAGGTGTATGTGTGTCAATGTGTGGGTGAATGTAGTTTTGCATGCATGCACGTGTGTGTGCCTGTGGGTGTGTGTGTGTGTGTGTGTGTGTGTGTGTGTGTGTGTGTGTGTGTGTGTGCGCGCGCGTGTGAGTTCCCAGGCAGAGCAAATGAACCCACATGAATATCACCCATGCCAGCGGGTCTGCAATTGTGGAATTAGAGAATAATAGAAAGAGTGTTGAGTTTGGAATGAAAACACCCAGGTGTGAGTCACAGCTCCCTAGCGTGGACTAGTCACACACCCTTCTGCACCTCAGTGTCTTCCTGTGTTAAATGAAAACAAGGTTCCTTGCCTATGACAGTAGACACAGCCAGGTTCCAACCCTGTATGGACTTGGTACACATTGTTAACCTGAGTGCAGTTACCTAGAGCAGTCACCTCATCCATTGTGGCAGGACAGGAGGAGACAGTCTGCTATCCCCTCACTGATCAACACAGGCATCTCAGGCAGCCTCTGAGAGGGCTCTGCTACTGCACCAATAAGTGCAGAAGAGGTGCCGAGAGAGAGAGAGAGAGAGAGAGAGAGAGAGAGAGAGAGAGAGAGAGAAAGGAGAGAGGACCAGCCTCACCCTGATCCCTGACCTCTGAGCAGCTGACACTTTCAGCATCCACAGAGCATCTCTATCCCATGGGAGGGGCTTCTGTGTGACATGACTGCCTCTCCACCCACTCACGGGCCAGGGAGCAAGAAAATCACCCTAAGTCTGAGGAACCTAAGTCAAGGGACCGTATGCACTTGTCCTTAGTCCCACAGGCAGCAAATGGGCAACACGAGACCAAGAGCCACACTGAAACTGAGAGCTGGCCCTTGTCTCTGCCCCCAGAGCCTGTCCTCACTGCCACCCAATGTGGCAGTGGTTTGCTGAAGAGAAAAAGAGGGCTTATCTTGAGAGCCAGCCTGGAGAGGACCAGCAAGACCCGCAGCTAGCTGTCCACGGAAGGTGAAACAGGAAAATTAAAGATGAAAAGAGCACAGAGAGGCCAGGAATTGCTTCCTGCAAGACAACAGCGCCCTCTCCTGTCCAGTCAAAGCAACACCACAGTCTGTCTTCCACCGCCTTTATCCGCAATCTCCACTCAAAACTCCAGGAGACAATGAAAACCCACTCCAAGCCCCACTGCCTGGGGACTCCCTGGTCCCCCCCACAAGCCGACAGCCATGCCAACATCTGATCTTGCCAGTGACAGATATCTGTGTGCTGCCTCTCTCTAGGACCTGGGGTCCTTAGACACAGTACACACGATTGTCTTTGCAGATGACTTCCTGCAGTCACTGTCAGACTCTCTGACAGATGCTGCGTTACCTGACTGTGGAGGAGGAATTCGGTTGCTAAGCAACCAAAGACAACTAGTATGGAAAGGCCAAGGAATGGGCTCCAGACCCTTTCTGCTTAGTACAGCTCAGTGACCTTGCAAAATTAGACCTGCAG